AAACTAAATAGGTAGTCAAAGATCTCTCCACATACAAAACACCAGTCCGGCAGCTTGATTTGTAAGCTTCACCCAATATTCAGACAACATGTACTTCAAATCTCACAAAAACAATCCCTGTGTATCTAAGTGGAGCACTCCCTCAACTTATTTTCTGAGGCCACAGTTACACTGATTATCCAAAGACAACAAGAGAAAGAAATATTCCAAGCCAGTCTCACTCATGAACACCGATGTAAAAATACTAAACACAATACCAACAACAGAATTAATCCCTGTATGAAACACATAATTGATAAAGGCACACTAGGTTATCCCACAAAGGAAAGGTATATTTAATATTAGAAAATCATATACCTTTCAATGCATTTCCAGTTTAAAGAAGAAAAATCATACCGTCATCTAACACACACACACATAATGGCTTGGGGAAAAGCAACATCTATTCATGATTTGAAAAAATAAACTAGGAATAGAAGGGCACTTTTTTAATCCGATAAGGGGTTTTCTTATTTTTTATTCTTTTTACAAATATCTATAGCAAACATCATACACTGACGCACAGGAGGCACCCCCTTCGAAATGAGGGGTGAGATAAGGACATGCAGTCACCACTCCACGCTCTGTGAGGCGTTGGAGGCACAGTAAGATATGAACAGTAAACACAAGACGGGAAGGAAAGAAATAAAACTGCCACGATTTGCACACCACGTGGTAGTCTGTTAAGAAAGTTTTAAAATATGTACAAATCATTAGAATCAATGAGAGAATAGCAAAATTAGTAGACATAAAATAAATGTACAAAAATCAACTGCTTTGCCATATACCCTGATAAAAACTTGCAAAATATATTTTTTATAGCAAACGTTTTTAACAACATCAAAAAATATAAAGTATCGGGCTTCCCTGTTGGTGCAGTGGTTAAGAATCTGCCTGCCAATGCAGGGGACACGGGTTCGAGCCCTGGTCTGGGAAGATCCCACATGCCGTGGAGCAACTAAGCCCGTGGGCCACAACTACTGAGCCTGCGCTCTAGAGCCCACGTGCCACAACTACTGAAGCCCGCAAGCCTAGAACCTGTTGCTCCGCAACAAGAGAAGCCACCGCAGTGAGAAGCCTGCGCACTGCAATGAAGAGTAGCCCCCGCTTGCCGCAACTAGAGAAAGCCTGCGCACGGCAACGAAGACCCAACACAGCCCCCCCAAAAAATATATATATAAACCTTTATGAAATTATAAAATACTACTGATAAACGCTTAAAAGAGCATAGTTTGGAAACTCAACAATATAAAGATGTTGAGTCTCCCCCCATTAATCCACTGATTGGCAAGTTGATTTAATATTTTCATGGAAGATCAAAGGACCAAAAAGAACAAAGGAGGGAAACTTGCCTTCCCAAATGTCAAGAATCATTGAAAACCTATACTCATTAAAATAGTTTACGGGGGCTTCCCTGGTAGTGCAGTGATTAGGAATCTGCCTGCCAACGCAGGGGACACGGGTTTGAGCCCTTGTCCACTACTGAGACGGCTGGTGGTTCATGACATCATATTTCTTTTTTTTTTTTTTAAGAAGATGTTGGGAGTAGGAGTTTATTAATTAATTAATTTATTTTTGCTGTGTTGGGTCTTCATTTCTGTGCGAGGGCTTTCTCTAGTTGTGGCAAGCGGGGGCCACACTTCATCGCGGTGCGCGGGCCTCTCACTATCGCGGTCTCTCTTGTTGCAGAGCACAGGCTCCAGACGTGCAGGCTCAGTAGTTGTGGCTCACGGGCCTAGTTGCTCTGCGGCATGTGGGATCCTCCCAGACCAGGGCTCGAACCCGTGTCCCCTGCATTAGCAGGCAGATTCTCAACCACTGTGCCACCAGGGAAGCCCAACATCATATTTCTTTTAATTCTACTTCTTTTATAACTACAGTTTTGAATCTATATAATAATAAAAATGATTAAAATCAAGTTGGTATCTAGGTACATACAACTACTGAGCCCGCATGCCTGGAGCCCGTGCTCCGCAACAAGAGAAGCCACTGCTCACTGCAACTAGAGAAAGCCCCCGTGCAGCAACGAAGACACAACACAGCCAAAAATTTAAAAAAATAATAAATTTATTAAGAAAAAAAAAAGTTTACGGGCACAGAGGGAGACCCATGGAACAGAACAGAGAGCTCAGAAACATACACACTCACTAAGGAAACTTGACGAGTCCAAAGCTGGCATTAAATGATAATGGTATCCATTTGAAAAAAAAAAAAAGAAAAAAGAATTTGAACCCCTACCTAACAGTATGTGTAAAAATCAGTTCCAGGTAGATTAAAGACCCAAATTAATAGACAAAAATACACTTTTGAAAGAACACATAGTGGAATACTTCTGTAACCTTGGCATAAGGAAAGTCTTCTTAAAGAAGATACTAAATGCCCACATCCTAAGGGAAGACTGAACAGTGACCACTTCAAAATAAAGAACTCCTGGGCTTCCCTGGTGGCACAGTGGTTGAGAGTCCGCCTGCCGATGCAGGGGACCTGGGTTCGTGCCCTGGTCCGGGGGGATAACGCGTGCCGCAGAGCGGCTGGGCCCATGGGCCATGGCCGCTGGGCCTGTGCGTCCGGAGCCTGTGCTCCGCAACGGGAGAGGCCACAGCAGTGAGAGGCCCGCGTACCGCAAAAAAAATAATAATAAATAAAAAAATAAAGAACTCCTGTCTACTAAGGGACAACACAAGAGAACAGAAGCAAACAGACAAACCAAAAAACCAAGCCATAAACTCAGGGACATTTGCAATTAACAAAAATGGTAAAGTGTTACTGTCTAGAATATAAAGAATTCCTTCAATAAGAAATAAGAAAAAGACACAACCCAAGTGAAAAACAGGAAACAGCACTGCAAGAGGGGAAGCCTATGTGGCTGACCCAGAAACCAGAGGGCACCAGTCTCACAGTTATTGGGGTGACTGGACTGCACCACCACGCAGTGTTCCACCCCCCCCACCCCCCCAGTGTTGGGAAGACATGAGTAATGGAAACACGCAGGCAGTTTAGAACTGTACAAAGACAGGACCGACCCAATGTCTGTGTACACAGGAGGCACTGGGAGGGCCACCAGCGGGGCTGAGGGAGGAAGCACAGCCACAGCAGTCGGGGGATGACCCTCAGCACATAACTGAGCAGGAATGACCCCAATCCCGTCAACTAGAAAACACCCAACCCCCGTGTGTCTGGAGAGCCCCCAACGATGGGGAAGCTATAAAAAGCATGGTACCGATCAACTCAGCACTCAGGGGCCAGTCACCTGGGAGGGTGGGGTAGGGGTGAGAGTGAGGAGGGCATGCAGGGACCCTGTAGGCTCATTTTCTGAACTGGCTGGTGGACGGCTGGTGGTTCATGACATCATATTTCTTTTAATTCTACTTCTTTTATAACTACAGTTTTGAATCTATATAATAATAAAAATGATTAAAATCAAGTTGGTATCTAGGTACATACAAGGCAGAGAGGGTACTATCCTGAGGGAGGAGCTGGGTCCAGGCCTCTTCTCCACTCTGTCTCCTCTAGGTCCCTGACTGTCCCGTCTGCCTACCTGTTGGCCACCTGTGGAAGAGTGGACGTCCCCTGAGAGTTCACTATGTGAGTGGTGTGTTGGTTACTTTAATCCTTCACTATGAAGGAGCTTCCACAATAAGGAACAGAGATCTAGGAAGTCTTCTCATTTGTCCATGTCCTGGGGCTAACAAGTGGTGAGGCTGAAGTCAGAACTCAGGTGTGATGAGCTCCTGTCCTGGTTCATGTGTTCCAGTGTGTAAGGAGCTGCCAGGTGGGCTGAATGCTCACACCTACAGGCACCACCTCTCAGAGGATGTGATAAGAGCCTGCAGCACAGGACCCAGGATGGTGGGAAGGGGTGTCGTTTACCCCTCACTTTCATTTACAGTCTTAAAAAAAAAAATATATATATATATATATATATATATATACATACACACACATATATATATATATTTTTTTTTGGCTGAGCAGGGTCTTAGTTGTGGCACGTAGGATCTTCGTTGCTACGTGTGGGATCTTTCAGTTGTGGCATGTGGGCTCTTAGTCGCAGCACGTGGGATCTAGTTCCCTGACTAGGGATGAACCTGGGCCCCCTGCACTGGGAGCATGGAGTCCCAACCACTGGACCACCAGGGAATTCCCTTTTTTAAAAAAAAATTTTTTTTTAATTTATTTATTTGGCTCTGCCAGGTCTTAGCTGCAGCACAAGGGATCTTCATTGCTGCATGTGGGATCCTTAGTTGCGGCATGCGAACTCTTAGTTGCGGCACCTGGGATAGTTCCCTGACCAGGGATTGAATCTGGGGCCCCTGCATTGGGCGCATGGAGTCTTAGCCACTGGACCACCAGGGAAGTCCCTCATCTACAGTCTTTTGATTAAGGGACTGTAGGAGGCTGGCTACACTGACCTTGGAGAGAGCAGAGCTGAAGCCCTGTCTGCAGACTTGCTTCGTATTAGCTCTTTGGAATACTTATACCATTTTATCTTCTAGGAACATGAGTGATTCTCAAAGGAAGATCCCCAGACCTCATGACTTCCCTAGATAGCCACTTCATTAACATGTTTCGCAAAAGAAACAACTCCCTGTGCCTGACTATTTTTCAACTTTTATCACTGAAATACAAAAGATCCCCAGGACTTCCCTGGCAGTCCAGTGGTTAAGACTCTGCGCTTCTACTGCAGGGGGCACAGGTTCAATCCCTGGTCAGGGAACTAAGATCCCACATGCAAGGCCAAATAAAGAAAGAAAGAAAGAATCCCCAAACTTCCACCAGATAACTGGCCCAAGTCCCTATTCAGTCTTCCTGCATTTGGGTTTGTGGAAACGGATTAGCCATCAATGGTTCCACAGAAGCTACAGGGGAATAGGACCTGTGGCCAACCAGCAAAACTTACAGATTCTCTTGTAAAAAGAGAAACAAATTCAGTTCACAGGAACCTTTTATGGCATGCCCACCTTGTTGAAGACCCAAATCTCGCCGTTCACAGTGGGCCTGGGCACCCCATGCCCATTGTAGTGGAAGAGGACCCGCTCCTCCTTGGCATTTCGACGTAAAGACGTGCAAAGCTTCTTCACTTCATCCACAGTTGGATCAAGGCTCTGCTTGTACCGCGCCTGTTGCAGGAGAAAAAATTAAGAAACTTATCATGGATTCATGGGAATACCTAGAATTAAAACTCCATCCTGGGGCTTCCCTGATGGCACAGTGGTTAGGAATCCGCCTGCCAATGCAGGGGACAGAGGTTCGAGCCCTGGTCTGGGAAGATCCCACATGCTGCGGAGCAACTAAGCCCATGTGCCACAACTGCTGAGCCTGTGCTCTAGAGCCCATGAGCCACAACTACTGAGCCCACGTGCCACAACTACTGAAGCCCACATGCCTAGAGCCCGTATTCCACACCAAGAGAAGCCACCGCAATGAGAAGCCCGCACACCGCAACGAAGACTAGCCCTGCTCACTGCAACTAGAGAAAGCCTGTGCACAGCAACGAAGACCCAACGCAGCCAAAAATAAATTAATAAATTAAAAAAACAAAACAAAACAACTCCATCCTTTACTCCAAGTCTGCATTTAATGGACCCTGCACAAGTGACCTCAAATTTCTCTATCTATAAACTGGGATGATGACTACTTCACAGGGTGGTTGTAAACATTCATTTACTCAACAAATATTTATTGAGAACTACTGTGAAGATCTCATGAGATTAATAAGTAATGCCTGCCACATGGTAACACTAGTAAAAGGTAGCATCCCTGTGATATCAAAAGTATTTCTTAGAAGCATTGAATCTGTTTGGAAAAACTGTCTGGAACATGGAAGAGAATTTGCTTAAACACAGGAAGCTATAATATATATGGTAGCAAGGGAGAATAGTTTCAAAAACACAACAAAGTAAGGAAGCAAACTGCCCCTCTCTTGCTTAGTCATATTCGCCCTGCTTACCCCCTCCCACTACTCCTGCCTGGACCCTTGCTGATGAACATAAAGGATTCACTGAATTAGCAGGACCTAAAGTAAACACACAGAAATCAACAGCCTTTATATATATATACATAAAGGACAGATGTTTAAAATCATAAGGAACCCCCACTTCTAAAGCAACAAAGAAGATTGAACTTAACAAGAAATATACAAAACCCTGACAAGGAAACTTTGTAAAACTCTCCTGGAAAACAGAAGGAGGCTTGAACAAATGGGAGATGCTCCCTGCCTGGGTAGGATGCACCCACATTCTTAAGACATCAGTTCTCCCCAGGTTAAGAGTTCACACGTTCCCAACTCCCAACTTGACAAGCTGCTACTGAAGTTCGCGTGGAAAATAAATATGCCAGAACAGCCAGGAAAACACTGAAAGGAGAGCTATGAGGGGTCCTGCCCCCCAACACTCCAACCTCCTCTGGGCCTCTCTAAGTAAAAGGTGAGGGTCGAGGCCCAGAGAGACCAGCAGGCCAGGGAGCTACTACAGAGTCCAGAATTAGGTCCAAACACATTTCCTGGCTTTTTGGAGAACAGTGTTCACACAGTCATAATGTTACGAACACTGATTTTATTTCATTAGAAACTGTGCAAACTTCAAGAGTGTGGTGAGGACGCTGAGGCTGGGTGAGGGATACACGTGGTCATCAGAAGAGTCTCTCCACTTTATATTCATTTCCTTTTGTTTGCTTTCAAAGAACTTTCAATGGTAAATTCCCAATAAAAAAGAACTGAAAGTGTAAATTTATAACCGTACTAGATGGTCGCGTGGAAGTGATGTGTATAAAACCACTAAAGCCAAACCAGGAAGTCAATAAAAACACCCCAAGTTGATAAATCAGTAAAAAGCAGCATACACATATTGTTCTAAAATATGGGCATATCTGCCCAAAAAACACAGCTAAAAGGGTTTACCTCTAGGTAGGGATTATGTTCTGACTTTCAAAACATAATGTGTATGTTTGTTATTTTGATAAAGTTCTCAAACTTTGTTTAAAATGTTAAATTTAAAACCAAAAAAACCCAACCCAGTGCCATGATATCACTTGAAGAAAACAGTGGTGAGAACAAGAAACATGAACGGCGAGGAAACTATGTTTGAAGCATCACGGCTCCCGCTGTGGGCCTGCCACCTGGCGCAGGGCTCAGCACACAGTGATGGGTGCTGCTCAGGAAGCATCCGCTGAAGTTGTTTCAAAAGAAGAGCAGGGAGGTGGAGGGAGCAGAGATGGAAAGCAGACACATAGGCCTGAGGATGACCTGCGGCCTATGTTTAAGAGAGGCGTCCTGAGGCTTCCCTAGGGGCACAGTGGTTGAGAGTCCGCCTGCCGATGCAGGGGACACGGGTTCGTGCCCTGGTCTGGGAAGATCCCACATGCCGTGGAGCGGCTGGACCCGTGAGCCATGGCCGCTGAGCCTGCGTGTCCGGAGACTGTGCTCTGCAATGCGAGAGTCCAGAACAGTGAGAGGCCTGCGTACCACAAAAAAAAAAAAAAAAAAGAGAGGCGTCCTGACCTTTCAGAGGAAAATGAAGAGCTACACGGGAGGAAACTACAGGAAAATGTGGCTCACCTCGCAGAGCATTAGTTCCTCCATGTTTGAGATATGACATTTGGTTTCACCTAATTAAATACGTGCTAATAATGCAATTATTGACAGTAGAAAATCCTGGTGAAATACTGCATCGTGTGTTCTGAGAGCGTTGGGGGCACAAACACAGAAGCTTCAGGATGATGAAACTCAGAACAAAGTTCTTCCAGATTCCCCCAATTTTTTCCAACTGTAAGTAAACTGATACAAGGATAGCAACACTATTCCACTGCAGGACAATTTTAGGACCCTGCCCTGAGGTGGCAGGTTAGGGTCCAGCAAAGTGGTCTCTCCCTGTGTTTCTTCCATAAGGTCCAGAATGCTATTTGTAAAATAAAACTGTGTCACAAAGGAGACTAGAGAAAGCCAACACATAATGCGATGTTTTCAAATTCATTCTCATTGAGGCAATGTGCATTAATCCGACACTGACAGAGGGGCTGCGCATTACCCATGCTACCAGAGCAGGGCTGGCCCCAAGAGAGACGGGGTCTGTGTGGATGTGGGGGCTGAGGACATGGGGCACTCAGGGGCATGGAGCCTGTGCCCGGCCTGGGGAGGCAGCCGTGGCACCTGCTCCCTCCGGCCAGGTGGGCATCTCAGCCTGTGTTGGCTCACCTAAACCACATGTTCTGGGAGCACCAGTTCAACATCTAGCTCTTGTGCAGGATTCCTTCTTGGTCCCCTTTGGCAGGAATAATCTTTTCTGTCTCTAAACTAACTTATACTCTTTGTCATGTGTTCCTGTGAAGCTGTCTAAGCTCCATGGACACTGTAAACCCCATGAGGGCAGACACGGATTATAGTTTCATGTGTGCCTTTCAGTACCCAGCTCTGTTTTTATATTCTTCCCATGGCCTCACAACACGCTCAGTTATTAGCAAACAGTTGCTGAGTGACTATCAAACTTTTACTGACACTGATTACAATAATCTGTAATGAAACAAACCAAAATGATGAATCCTATCTGACACTGAAGTGACACAAGTGAATTTCAGCACAAAATTAGAAAGTGTATATGTAAAAACTGTTGTGTCTAGGAGGTTGGTACTTAGATGTTCAATAATTCTTCTACTTTGCTATATGGAATTCTGCATATTAAACAGTTAAGAAAAGGATAGAGGAGGGAATTTCCTGGCAGTCCAGTGGTTAGGACTCCGAGTTTCCACTGCCAGGGGCCAGGTTTGATCCCTGGTCGGGGAATTAAGATCCTGTGACCCCCCCACCAAAAAAAAAAGGATGCAGGAAAACATTCCTGACTCATCACCAATAAACTACTTATTTGTGCTCTGGGTTGGACAGAAACAGGGCACTGAGCCTTAACGCTCTACACAACTAAATTTTGGCTAATCCCATAAAACTAGATGAGAGTAGTTGATAAATGAAAATCTAGTTCTGGGGGCAAAGACGGAAACTTTTTACTAAGATGTCATGACTTTGGACATGTGTTCCAGAACCACATCCACATCAGCACAATGAGAAAAGTCAGAGAGTCCCCGGCCCAAAAACACCTGCCGGAGCATAGGACCCAGGTAAACTACTATTTCAGCCCAAATCCCTCAGCCACTGTGACATGACCTGCATAAATCTAGAATTTAGATTTTTCTGTGAATCAGAGCTGCTGGAATGGCCAAACTAGGCAGCAAATCACATCCCACCTTGGTAGACACGTTGACCTGGGCCTTTATGTAAATTAAAATAAATACCTATGCTTTTTTGATACATGTGTTTTTTAAAAGACATCCTGGCTGGGTAGGTAGAAATAACCAGAAGAATTCAGAAGACCATTTTATCACCAGGAGCTTCAATGACAAGGCCCAAGGGCTGAAGGGAAGTGTGAGTGTAAGCATTACCAAGTCTCACTGGGCTGTGCTGGAGTGGAGGGAGATGCTAGGAAATATCGGACGTGTATTTTCCCTACTCCCAGGAAGGCTTCCAGGTGGCTCATAGAAGGAGCAGCAAAACAGCAAAGAGGGAAAGGCTGAATCGCAAAATAATTTTAATGCATGCCAAAAGGAGTTCTGAATTTGTTACTTATTTTCCCTGTGAGCACAAAAGAAATGAAAGCATTTTTATTTACTACCAAGAGCAGTAACAGGGAATCATACTGGAAAGGAACTCAGTTCAAATGAGGTTAATGGCTTTCGAGCTGTCTCCCCTCCGAGGGGGCTCTGGGGGGCCAGCTCTGAGCATGTGGGGCTGCTCAAGGGTTAGGACAACAGTACGTGAGACAGAAACTGCTCCCCTCCCAAACCAAAACATTTCCACAAAGGTGTGAGAAAACCAACTTAAATCAAACGGTTCCATTAGAAGAAATGAGGGAAGGGGCCTCCTTCCCACGCATTCAGAGGGCACCCCGGGAGAGCCGTGTGGGGATGTGCCCTTTCTTCCCCGCCACAGTGATGACCAGGAGCAGTAGGGTGGTGGGGAACTTCTAGAGAGTGCAGGGTCTGTGCCTGGTGAGGTAAGGGCAGGAGGCAATGGTGAGGGGAACCACCCCTCTTGCATCCACCTCTCCTGCTATGCGGGTACGAAAGCACTGACTGA